CCCCAAAACCCCAAAACCCCAAAACCCCAAAACCCCAACATGAGAAATTAAAATTGAAAATACTAAGCTTATTACTGGTCCTAATGTCTATTCAATAACTTTAATAATGGGAGTATCTCAATACGTCTTCAGGCTCCATACAATTTCCTTTCTGGAAGCAAGTGGCAATGGTAGTGTACAGCTTTGTCTGTTCTTCTAAATGGTAACTCAGGATCTGATGGATCTGGTCTTTAGAGATTTCTTCTTTAGGGTCTATAGTCAGCCAAGAACCTTACCTATCTCAGGAGTCTTAGTCCTGATCTCGAATTTGATGTAAGTTGGAGTGAACTCAAAGTCTATCTTCTGGCCACCAGGTAACCCATTGACTAAGATCAAATATTGAGCAGCCTTTTTAGTGTCAATCTATGCCTAGTTAGAGATATCAGTACCAATGTTGTGCTGAACACTTTGTCTCTCTTTGAATTTCTCATTTTTATGTATGAAGCGACCTATATCAAAGCTAGTCACTCAATAAAAAGAAGTTGTAATGAAAACAGCAAAAAGGCAATGGGATCACTTATACTTAAGCCATCCATGTCCACTAGAGAATAAGGACCGTTGGGAAAATCCACCATGCTGCTTTAGTCGACAAGAATTGATAGAAATGACAACTAATTGAGTTTGATGAAGTCTGAATTCAGCCACCATAAAATTTGAACTAGTGCAGACAACTACTCGTGCATTCTAGGAAGAAAAATGGGTTTATTAGAAAGACCGGCTTATGCACAAAGAAAATAGTAAGAATGAAACTTGCTCATTAGTAGGAATAGAGAACCAATATTTTATAAAGGATACTTCAGATATTAAATTGTTTACCAACATATGGATTAGGAGCTTGTGTGAGGTAAGAAAGATAAGGGAGTTTAGACAAAGCAAATGGAGATTCAGAGTTAAGCGTTAGCCTGAAAATTCATTCTTAAATTCTGTCAAATTAAATTTTGTAGGTTTAAAATTTTAAGGCATTTTAAGAAAAAATGGAACAAGTTCTAATTTTTCTAAATTAAAGAACGAGTTTTTACGATAAAATATTTCTTGATGATAAAAACTTATCTAGTAATAGTATACACTTAACTTATACTCCTTTTCAAACTAAATACTCCTCCAAAATCCCCTAACAGCAACAACACTCCATTAACGACTCTAATTTTGAACAGTTTAAACAAATACGCTAATATCTCAGACTCTAGGATAACTATCTGAGTTCTTCTGTTACCAACATAAAGGTGATCCAGCTATTATTTCTACTTGTACATCCTTTATCTAACTTTCAGTCCACCTCCTGCACGAGCAGAACAGGGAAAGGCTGCAAACAAAGCTCAAGACCTGAAAAGAGGACCAAGGACTGAGACAGAGAATGGGAGGGAGAATTGGGGCTGGGTGAAGGAAGGATAAGGAGGGTTTTAGAGATGTATTAGGGGGTTAACAGTTTTTGGATGTTTTTAAGGCGGTTATGAGAAAATTTACCTCTAGGAGATTTTGGAATCTGTCGTATTTTGGAAGAAATTCTGCTAATATTTTGATTGCTGTATCTTCTTGGGGTTGTGCTGTCGTGGGATTGAATGGTGCGAGAGATTCTAAATATTCTGTTGAGCATTAGTGCTGTCAAATTAAAATAAGCTCAATCCTGTCATTAATCCAAAATATATCTATTTTTGCCAGTTTTGACCCCATTAAACTTATTTTCCAAATTTCTAATCACTAAAATTACAAATCCCTTACTTCTCCAACTCAAACCACCCTCTTTACCCCAAATCCCCCCATAAACCCCCCTACTCCACCCATCCTACCCCCAAACCCCAATTTCCCACACCACCTCTACTCCAAACCCAATCTCCCCTCTACAGCCCCACTAACCCCTTCTTCCTCCCCCTAAAATTCCTGCCTATCTCTCCTACCCACCCTCCCTCTCCACCACCCTCATCACAAAAATCCCAATAAACATAATATGCCCAGTTTAAACCTACTTTAGGCGCGAAACTTACGCTGCTTACCAATCTCATCTATATCGGCAAGTTCAAGGCCAAGATAGGCTCACATTTCTTTAAGGATTTTTAATGTTTCGTTCTAGATGGGTCAGAGAGGAGGGGTTACTTTCTTCTCGGTTTCCATGATTGGGATGGGGTTAATATAAAATTTTCATTTAGGAGAGAATTTTAAGGGGTTTTGGGGTTTTGGGGTTTTGGGGTTTTGGGG